GCACCAATAAGAGCATTCTTTTGGAGGGCATATTACATTATAATCTGACCCACATTTTTTGCTGTTCTACTCATGAAAGCTGAACTCTAACAAGTTTAACTTTCATATCTGCATATTTTAGTTTACCTTTAAAAGGGCTAACACCCTGGGAGACTAAAATTGCACCCCACAGTATTTCTGCATAAACACAGATCTATCACTTCCAGATGAAGGCTAGACAGCAGATGATAGGAAAACCTTCTGCTTGAGATTTTATAAAACTACTGTCAGAGCTATATAAATAAAGCTATATGAACCAATGTTCAGTCTCAGGATAAAGCAATTCATATATCCATTAGACTGTGTTTCAGCTTGGGTACATAGGATGAGTAATGGCAAACCTCCTCTGAACAATCCTTGCCAACAGCCCTGGTGGTGCAGTGGTTAAATGCCTGTACTGTAGCCACTCACTCACAAACCACAAGGTTCTGAGTTCAATACCAGCTAGGGGCTCAGGGTTGACTCAGGCTTGTATCCTTCTGAGGTCACTAAAATGTGCCCAACTTAGCATACACATTGTAAACTGCTTAGGGAGTGCTTAAGTGTTCTGATAAGCAGTATAGAAATGTACCTGCTATTGCTATTGCTATTGCTAAGAAAACCCCATGATAGGTTTGCCTTAGAGTCAAAGGCACACAACAACAACAACAACAACAACAACACATGGGATGAGAGCACTGAAGTGTAAAGGTGGCAGACCAGAGCAGAATGTGAAACTTATGTAGGCTGGGCAGTATTGTCAGTAGGTAGCATATTGTTCCTACTTTATGGGATGCCTTTCTTGCCATACTGTCATAGCAGAAGCACAAGTTATGGAAATTCATCCCAAGGCAATGTCTCTAAAGATGTAAATACAATTTCCTTACAAATAAGGAGCTGTGGTTTGTGATTTGGTGTTTGCATTTTCATCTTCCTTATTATGGTGAGAGGAGGTCGACTGGACTGGAATGGGAATACAACTGAAGGATAGTATAGGAAGGAAGGTAGGTAGGCAAGCAAACAAGCAAGCAAGCCTTCCCTCCCCAGTGTCAGGTACAATTTCTCATTCACAGTAAGTGCAGTCCTCAAATATAATGGAATGGAGGAACGTGAAAGATGCATGCTTGGGAGCAACTAGATTTTTGTTCACTTGAAGTCCCGATCCTTAGAACAAGCACAGTAATTAATTAACTGACTGACTGACATTGGCCCTCTAAAATTCAAAGCATTAATTAAATACAAATTGTTCTTCCAGACAAGATTTAAGGTACAAAGGACTAACCAGATGATGAACTATCTAGCTTGCTTGCTTACCTGCCCATCCCTTTCCTTCCTTCCTGTTAGGAATGTGTTGAGACTGCAATCCCATGAACATTTTCTTGGAAGTAAACACTGTCCACTATAATATGAGTTTCTTCTGAATAAAATCTGCATAGGGTTATGATATTATGTGAGCCATGTTGACCTCCAAATGAGGGCTGTGATTCTATAGTATAGTCTATGTTGTGTAACTTTACTAGCTACATAGCAGAGGAACTAAGATACCCTCCTAATAAATTGAGAAGATGTGTATCAGGGCACCAACAGGAGTCCCAGTGTACATTGGGAGTGCCTGACATGCATCAACATGTGTTGTGCATTGGCCGTAATGTGCATCTGTCCCAATGCACAAAAGTCACTTCACTGACCTCCCTACTTAGTGACATCATGGCATCCCTTGCTGATTATGGATGTTGCAAAACTGCTCAATTCTATTTACTGCAGGCATTACTCCATTGGCAAAGAATTCCGACCAAGGATTTTTAACTTTCTGAAGATCAATCTAGAGCTTATTTTCAAAAACAGAGGAAATGATCATAAAGTTGCTGAAATCACACAGAAGAATTTGAATAAGCAGTCCCAGTATCTCTTGTTGACTTGAGGACCTTTCCGTACTTACATTTTATTAGAAATATCTTGGAAAGCAGGCTGTAGTATGAGCAAAAATAGAAATTTTCAAAGAGAAAAACAAGAGAACCTTATGCACTAATCAGACCTATACACTAATAGAGTAGGACTTAACTTCCAAGAAAATGTGCATTGGTTTGGGCTGCTCATGAAGAGAATAAAAGTACAAGAAGCAGTGGATATTTTGACAAAATTAAAAAGAGGTTTCTTGAAAAGGAATTGTTCCAAAATAATTTTTTCCACAGTCTCTCACCTCATTATTCCCATAAAATTTAAAATTAACTTCTGTATTAACTTTTGCCATTTCATGACCATTTATTTTTAACTGTAAACTGAACAGATTGCAGTTGCAATCCTACATACTGTTAAGCTATTTAAAGTAAATCCTAGTTATATCAGTAGGACTTTAACAACCAAATTATATCCAAATCACAGCTTTTCAAATATACTAAGTGTGTCTGTGTGCTGGGGAGAGGGAGGTAGTCATTAAATAAAACATGAACTTCAATCAATTGCCCAGATAAAGAGACATCATCACATTTAAAAATCTTGTTACTCCTTTATCCCACCTCACTCATATAATTGTGATGCCATTTACTGGGGATGGGTTTTTGATGAAATGATGTACAGTATTTAAAACTCTAGATTTTTAAAAAAATCAGTGATCCACCATTATCTGCATTTGGAAAGAGTGCTGTGTTGGGAAAATCATGTCTCATAGAGAATTCTCACGTCATCCTTGAACTATTTTTTTCCTAAATAAAAATGAAAATTGCTTCTCTTTTTTGTTTAAACAAACTGCATGCATATTTCCCAAGTGTCATGAGTATATGACTTTGCAGGAGAATTAAAAGCCAGTTTTATGGTTCAAAAACTATCACCATGTAAACTTCCCATTTGACAAGATCGTTTTAGAAGAGGACTCACATTTAAAATGGACAGCCAACAAAAGGAATTCGGTTCAGTCCCCTAACAACATATTCACAAGTTAACTTCTTTAGGTTTTCCTTAGGAGTGTGAAAAGTCCCCAGTCTCGATTTCATTGCATTGCTTTGAATCCCACCTGCATTCTCACCTTATCCTTTGTTAGTGTTAGGGGCCCTTTCACACTACGCAATGATAGCCCTATGATTCCAACTTAAACTACACCAGGGAGATTACTGCACAAGGCGCTAGTGATGGAATTGATGTGGAATTACAACCTATGATTCCTCTCCTTTTTGCATGATATCATCACTCATCTGTTGCTGATCCAGCATTATACTGTTATTATTGCACAATTTTGTATTAGTGAGAGATACCTGTAATGCAAAATTGCATGATAATAACAGTATAACAATTGAGCAGCAATGAAAGAGTGACAATGGGCCTCTACAGACCAGCCCAAAGGGCCAGCCTGGAAGCAGAGATGGGGAGGGCCAGCTGCATTCCAGCTGCCCCAACCCCACGCTGGTGGCGTCCTGATGCCGTGCACCATTACGCATGGTGCACAACATTAGGACGTCCTTCCGGTACAGCGTTTTGATGCACTGCACTGGAAGGGGCACTAAAGAGCTGTGCACCAGCTCTTAGGGCGGCCTTTTGCCACCCTGAAAGTAACAGCATTTTGCCGCTTTTTTCAGGGTGGCAAAAGGGAGGATCGGGGCCGTGGCATGCAGCAGCAGCAGCCTCGATCCTCTGCTTCCCAGGGCAGCCTAGAGCTGCCTGTCTACAGCCCCCCCAATGTCAGGCAAAAAAAGGAGAGGAATCATAGGTTGTAATTCCATTTAAATTCC